TGCATAAGGAACGGAAACATGTGCTGCAAACACACACAGGGAGAGGGGGTGGGGAGGAAGGCGATCAAGAGATGAGTGGACATTGAAGGAAGGGAAGGGAAAGGGGAAGAGGAAAGGCACGTGTGTTTTGCACATGCACCATCTTCTTGCATGGACTGCATACATTTGGTACTATACACGTGTACTTATAAACTTAAAAACATTTAAAAATGCCGTTTTCAACTTGTAACTATGAAACACCTATCGATTAGGCTGGAATTCTTCAAGTAGTGGTGAATTCTTTGAAACACTGGAAGGCGTACATATTTTGATACTCTGTGAGTCCATTTATTTGAAATTCAAGATGGGCTAAAATTTTTGGTGACAGAAGTCAGGGTAATCTCTTAGAGGAGACTAACTGGGAAATCAACAAGGAAACCTGGAACACTCCAAAAGTTTTTATTTTTCAGTAGTGTGGTTTGAACCTGTGCTGGTCAAGTACTCTACCAATGAGCTACATTCTAGACCCTTTTACATTTAATTAATTTAGTTTTTGAAGCCCTGGGGGCTGCACCTCAGGGCCCTCTGCCAATGAGCTACATTCCCAACCCTTTTTATTTTTTCTTTTGAGACAGGGTTTCACTAAGTTGCCTAGGCTGACCTCAAACTTGGGGTCTTCCACCCAGCTTCCCAGGTAGCTGAGCAAACAGGCTTGCACCACCATGCCCAGCGGAGGTTCCGTGTGGTGGTTACATGAGCATATGCACCAAGGCTGGGCGTGGTGCTGCACACCTGTACTCCCACTCTGTACAAAACTTTAAAAAGTAAATGAAGGGCTAGGGACCTGGCCTCAAACTCAGTACTGATTAAATTGGAAATTTCATACATATATACATTCATATATACATACACAAAGTAAAAATTCATGATGTTGTATACAGTTGTATATGTTTCATAATTTGTAGTATCTGTGCTATTTTTAATTTTTATTTTTGATGTGATAGTGGAGATTTGACCCAGAACTTTGCACATAAGCATGTATTCTATCAGAGACATATCCAGCCCCAGTATATGGGTTAAGATAGATAAACAAATTAAATTAAATTAAGCTTGCCTGTGTAAAGTAGCCTTTTCTCCTCTCTCCTCATGTCTTCCTTTAACCTGTTTTTCCCTCTCCAGTCTTGGGGATTAAGCTCAGGTACTTTGTGCTGAGCTACATCCTCATCCCTTTTTATTTTAAGACATTGCCATGCTAAGTCACTAAGTTGCTCGGGCTGGACTCAAACTTCTGACCCTCCTGCCACTCCTGTTCTAATTTTATCCATAGCACAAATCACCAAATGGCACAATTTTACTTTTACTTTTCATCTGAATCTGTATCACTTAAGGTTCACCGAAGGAACAGATTTAATATAAAATGTACAGATTGCATAAAGGATTTACAGAGTTGGCCTTCGATATCCGCCTGTGGAATCGAGAATGCAAAATGGCCATCTTCCTACTGAGTCCAGTCTAAGGGGAGGGCCTGGAGCTCGCTGCAGAGTCCAGTCTGCTTCCATGTTGGAAAGCTGAAGTGTCTATGCTGAAACCCTGAAGGAAATGGAGGAGATTGTCCAAAGGTAACGGCAAAGACCAGAGCCCCTCGGAGGAGTTGGAGATTGAATTTCTACAGATGAGTGATTTTAATAGAGATGTAGTTGTACTTAGTTCGTTGCACACATAACACCCAGTCCTACAAGTGTTTATCCCTTTGGTCCTGAAAAACTGAGATTAAAAATGAATACCTTTATTGTAACATGCTAAAATGTGAAAATGTAAACTATCAGGGGGATGTGAATATCTAAGCAGATAATTTAAATAAAGCAGATGGGCAGGGTGGGGTCCTATAGGTTGAGCTGAGCCTGCAGAGATGAGAACTCACCCCTGACTGGCCCAGGGAGAGCATCCAATGGAAGGGAAGATGCGACAATAGGCTTTTCTGGGTTGGACGAATGAGGAGGGAATGTCATGGCAAGGGGCTAAGGAGAGAAGTTTTTAACTGTGCCATAGTGTATCAGGGTGGGAGGGTAAAAGATGATCACAAACAGGCAGACACTAAAACATAAAGATTTGCATCCAAACATAAACTGTTTAGAAACTTTGACATAGAACTCAAGACATGACTTATTTGTAACACCCCCAAACTGGAGCTAACCCAAACGTCTATGGCTTAGTTTTGGAGGTGAATGGAGGAACACACGGGTGAATCCTTACAACAGCATGCTGCCTGGAATGAAAAGGAGTTATCTAGTGTTACCTGCAGTAGCTCAAATGAGTCTCTGAGTAGCTGTACTGAGAGAAATGAGCCAAACACAAACGGTGACATCCTCTATGAAACGAGAGACGAGGCTTCCGTTTCGGAAAGCAGAGAGCCGTGGTTGCTCTGGATAGGCAGGGGAGATGCAAGAGGCAGATGACAGGAAGAGTGCGAGGACACAAGGAAACTTTTGAGTTTGGTCATTATCTTTGCTGTAGTGACGACGGTCTCATATCAAACCCATCCAGTTGCACATTTGCCGTATGTGCTGCTTTATTGTACATGGATTATGCTTTGATATTGCTGAGAAAAGTCTCCAGACAGTAGACATCATTAAAATGATTTGAGCAGGAAAATAGTGTGGCCAGTTTTATGTTTTAGAAGTTAAGGATATACCTCTGTTTCTGGCTTAGCCAGCGGAAACTAGATGAACAATGATGATGATGATGATGATGATTATAAATGTTTTATTTCTTTCTATAGTTATCAAGAAATAAAGTCTCTCTGCTTTATTATGGATTGACGTTCTGATGGAGCCATAAGTAAAGGAGCTGTAGGTTTAGGGCAGGCCGAATATTTCCCCAAAATGAGATGGCTTGGTTATGCCTACAAATGTTGCCTTGGTTGTTCTTGTCTATCAGCGGACATCTATACTTTCAACTGACCTCAGAATCTAGAGTTCTATGCCTGGCCTGTGTGAGGAAATGCTGTTAGATACGTTAGTGCCATATCGAAGGCACCGTCCAAGTCATTAGAAGTCATCCTCCAGACTTGATTAATTCATACATGTAATTTCCTGTCTTTAAAAGAGAAAAAGCAGGCTGTTCACTAATTACATGATATGTCTTATATCCTTTACTTCTCAGAACTCTGTCAATGATGCATCTTTATCATCCCTATTTTGCAGAGGAGGAAACGGGCCTGAAGATGCTTAAATCACATCTGCATAAGGCAGACCCCTCTTGAGGCCTGTGGCGTGAACATGATTCTAAAGCTCATTTGGTTTCCCAACTTCTTCCCCCATTGTTCGTATATCCCAACAATTTCTTTTAAGAAATGATCAATCATGGCTCTCGTAACAAGAACAAATGAATGCACTTATATAATTGGCTTATAGGAGTAAATGAAGAAAGTGGCTCTCAGAAAGGAAAAACAACATGACGCAGAGCAGACTGGGCCTAGGCATTTGAAATCCTGCCATGTTCTGCCCCAGCTACACCTGCACTGTGATTTGGGCTCAGAGCAGTGGCAGGTGCCATGGGGCCTGCACAGGTGAACACAGTGCCCAGGGTCCCTGATGTGCTGTTCCCAAGCATGCTGGCTTATTCAGCCTCATTTACAAACAAAACAGGGCCTGCATTTTTGACAATATTCTTCTGTTTTGTCAGGGACTAATAGCATTTTGGACCACAATGAAATCAAGAATAGTTTTGTACAGCTGCTACCTATTCGAATATATTCCCCACATTACTATGCATACCACATCACAAGCAATTTATTTATGTTTTTATTCTTTCATTGTGAAACTAAAGTGTGGTTTTGTTGCACTAAGTTACAAAATGAGGAATGAATTTTGCTTTTGAGTATATCAAAAGGTAGAACTACAATTACTTGGGTGCTAGTTGCTACTACTGTTTTTGGTGGTACATTTGATTTTGGTTAGCAGCAGTAATGGAATTTGCTTGTTATCTCTTTTTCCAACTTCACTAAGTCGGAGAGATGTTGAGACTTTCCTCTGAATCCAAATGGATTTCTCACACCTAATAACTCTACAGTAGTTCATAGTAAGAGAAATTCTAGTCTTATGTGTTTATTGGTTGATTGATTGGCTGATTGATTCTTATTTCTGGGGATCAACCTCGGGGCCATACACATGTTTGACAAGCCCCCTACTGCTGAGCTGCACCACACCCCTGCTTCTCTGTTCAAAAATTGACTTCTGGGAATAACGCTAAGAAAATTTATTTTCTTTATGAATTTTATGTATAACGTTAGGATACGTGCAATAAAATTTTAAAATTTTTGAATTGGATTTTCCCCCCTGTGGAATTGGAGATGATTTCTAACTTTTTGTGCTTGTCTTTGTTCCCTTCATATTACATAGTACACAGACATTATTTTAAAATGCAGTACTATTTCACATGTATAAATGTGTGCAGAAAATTGCACTAATTCAATATGTGTTACAGAGTGCAGTGATCAGATCAAGGTAGCTAACATTGCCATCTCTTATCATCTTTATCATCTTGATGGGCAGGTGACAATTGCCGGACACACTTGTCTCTGGGAGGACTTCTCCATGCTGTCCAGGGAGCGCAGAGCTGGGCTCCTCCTTCCTTGGGCTGCTGTTGTCTCCAGTACAGCTTCTCACACTCAGACTCTCCACTTCTTTCTTGCAGAAATGGCCATACAGTAAAATCCTTTGAGGTGTTTTCTCTGCAATAAGAGAAAAGAACATACTCCTAGCAGTCAGTTGTGGAAAACATTGCATCAGCTAATGTTAAAAGTCATGAATTGTATGAAAAAAAAAAACCCAGATCAACACAGGGAGATTTCAGGAGGCTACACACCTCCTTTCATAAGGTCATGGGTATGGTAGAAATGAGTGAACTATTTTTTCCCAATTTCTCCATCAGATCACTATTTTGCTATTGATACCTAAGAGTCCCACAATATGAATTAATATTATTTAGCTTGAAACAGGATGCTACTTTTTCTCTCTTAGAGGCAGCTTTGCTGATGGATGTGACATACACAGCTGGACTCTGTCTTATGTCCAAGGTGAGTATGGTTTCTGTGTAAAGTGTCAGTTGTTATATTGACCTCATGTCTTTATAACATGAATCTATAATTCATTCTTGTGGAAAAGACTACATGAATTTCAATATGATTCTGTCTCCTCTCTGCCTTTCCTAATTTCTGCTCAGACCAAAAGTTAAAAGAATACCTGGCAAATAAATAATACAACCTTTTCCCTTTTCAGAGCCATTTTCACAATTCATTTGGTTCATCAGGAAACCATAGAAGCAGCACTGGAACAACATTGATTCTCTTATTCCCAGGTGCTCCAGTGAGGCCAGACAATACTGAATTACTTTCCTAAAGTCACAAACTAAACAAGCGACAGGCCAAGAACTCTCAGCTCAAATTTTTCTAACATGAACTTCCCTGCATATTTTCCAACCATAGATATTGGATTAGAGTCTGAGTTGGTCAGAAAATGCAATTTCCATGAAACTGAATTATTTGCAGCAGCTGCAACTTGAGGTGTTTCTGGCCAGAAGAACACACAAGGAATCTAGTATGTGTTGACCTTTTCGAATGCCAGTGATTAGTTTATGCAGTTCTTACAATAATGTGACATAGCGTCCACGATGTCTGTGTTGCAGACAAGAACAGCATGAGACCATTGACTTTCCAGAGATCTTGTACAGCTTGGATAGTAAGGATGGGTTCAGACCCACAACAGGCTCTGTGTCATTTATTCGCAGGGCTTGCGAGGCAATACTAGCAACTGTATTGAGTATGTTGGGACTGTCAGAGTAAAAACAAAGTAAGAATGAGTTTCTTCTCATACCCAGTTATACCAGCCGGCTCTGTGGTGCTGTAAACCCAGCTTTGCCCAACTAATCTGCGCATTGGTGGAATTCTGGAGTCACAGGAACTGCTGAAGAGGGCCCCTGCCAAACCATCATTCCATTCATGGGTTTTCCAAATTGGAACTATTAAAATTCCAAAAGGATTTCATTACTGAGTAGTTTCAGTCAAAATGCCTGCATATCAAAGAACAAGGAGAGATTTTGTCTCTAGAATGTAGGCCCCAGCATGGTGGGTCTGTGTCTTCTGCATAGTAAGTGCTCTGTAAATATTGATAGCTTTCATGAATGAACTTTACTCCCAGATACATGAAAAGAAGAAAATTAATATTGTTCACTGTCGATATGTGGTAAATCTAATTGCTGAAGTCAGGAACCTGCCAACTGTTACACAAAAGGCCCATTGTTAGCACTGCCCGCAGACTTCTGACTCTCAACCGCTCCGCTGTGACCACCAAGCCGCAACTCTTCCCTTTCTGTCATTTCACAACATCACTCATATGTGCTACATGGTCAGGATGAACAGTGGTGTGAATGAAGTGCAGCGTCAGCTGTGAGCCTCGTGTGGTTTCTCTTCTCAAAACAGCAGATTCATATGCAAGATCGTTCAGGTCAGACCCCACTAATACTCTGGCTATTCGGGCATTTGTCACTTGCCCCTCCGTATACTCTCATGGCTGCCTTGGAGCCACAATGAACAGGCTTCTGTTTCACGGCTAAGTTCCCAGGGGGGAAATACATATTGTTCATACTGTGATGCTTGTTCCAGTAAGTTTTTAAAACTCCATCTTTCTCTTACATCCCATAGCGGTCTTGCACGCCTGTGACTTATAGTAATAATGTTTCATGTATCATGTGATAATGTAAATCTTGCAATGACTTCTTGGGTGAGAACCAAGATGTAAGCATTATGAAAATAGAATACTTAAATTTATTCATGGATTATGTAGTACAATCTCTTTAGGATATGACAAAAGGCTTAAGTCAATTTAATGAGTTGCTAAGGATACAATAAACAAGGTGAAACAGCAAAAGATCAATATTTCTTATTTTGTTAAAATGTCTTTCACACTTTTATAAGTTAATATTTGATTTATATACATTGATTTAATTCATCCTCAACTTTTAATTGAGAAGTTCAACTGAACCACAGTATCTAATATTTCCAATAGCTACACTGTCTTCTAATTAAACATATTTTCTCTTCAGGATCACATTTTTTTAGTTTACCCAGAAATCAATTTATCTGTGGCCCACTATAGACAAGCCCAAAGCTTAAGCACATAGATAAAAAGGTGATACTATGAATTCAAAAGACAAAAAAAAACTCTCATAAGTTTTGTTTAATACATTTATTTTGTAATTTGAGGTCTATAGTATAAACAAAAAGTCCCAAGCTTACTGTACTCTTTATTCATATGGATCTGTGTAGTTGTATATATACTTGGTATTTGTATCACCCCCAACCAGGGATCAATCTCAGGACCTGTGCTTGTGAGGAAGGCACTGTTCCAATGTGCTAAAACCCTTGTGTGTACTTGTTATTGATGTGTTAGCTTTGGAGAAGAATCATTTCATATAGCTTTTCAATACATTACTAAAAACAATAAAAAAAGAAAAAAATAAAATAAATTATAGTTTCGGAAAGGAATTTTATTTTTATTCTGAAATCTTGAAAAATCATCACATATCAGTATTTAAAGCAAATTGAGTAGGTAGGCACAAAATAAACCATAAAGTATATGTGACTAGAGTTATTCTCCTTTATATTTTGTATTTGTAAGGCCTGAGACATACTCTGTATGGCTGAAAATATGTTGCTCTACAAAAAGCGACATGGTTAGGTGTTTATTTTCCACAGACAGACCACTTGTTTCAAAATACTGTACTTGAAATGCCCCTGATTAAAAACATAAAGGGGATACCAAGGGGATTCATGTGACCATCTAGGCCATTGGACAGTTGAAGTGACCATTCAATTGACAATGCGGAGAACTCAAAACATACACAAAAATTTAACTCAAAATCGATCATAGGCCTCAATGTAAGGGCTAACATAATAAAACTCCCAGAAATGAAAATATAATAAATCTTCATAATCTCAGCTCAGACATAGTCTACTTAGATATGATACCAAACGCAAGAATCAGAAAAGAAAAAGTACAGATAAATTAGACCATGAAAATCTCTACAGACTTGTATTTCACAGGCTTCCATCAAGAAATTAAAGGACAAACAACCAAATGGAAAGTGATATTTTAAAAACATATGCATGAGACTCCTACAGATATATAAAGAACTCTTAAAATTTAGCAAAAAATGTCAAGTACTCCAATATAAAACTAGGATCTTCCTATACATTTCACCAAAAAGGATTTGCAATGATCAATAAGAACCTGAAAACATGTACATCATTAGACATCAGAAAAATGCACATCAAAATCACAGGAAGATGCCACTTCCTATTTACCAGAATGGTTATAAAAAAAATCAAATGATCGCAAGAGTTGATTGAAATCAGAAAATCACAAGATAGATATTCACAAGTGTTGGCAAGGATTTAGAGACTGAAACATTTATAGACTGCTAGAAGTGTAAAACAGTACAGTTCCTGATGGAGACCACCCTGAGTGAGCTACAAACTCATAAACTGGCTTTTCATATTAAAAGGCTGAATCTGCCTATTAACCCACAGTGGCTGCCTGAAGAGCCAGCAGTTGGGGTGTGGGGAAGAAACAACTTCCCACACCACTGCTCACAGTGGAGGTATCAATGATCCATAATGCTGTGATGTCTTGTTTGGCAGGACAGTGGTGCAGCTAAGGGCAGCATGACTCATACATAAAACTTCTATGGAGGCAGAAATTAATCTACAGGAAAAAAACAAATTTCCCATTAATCGATGGTCTGTTCCTGCTAGAATGTCTCCTTCCCTTGTTGCTAGGACCACGCTGTCCACCTCACTGTTTCCTGCATCATCCTGGCCCTTTCAAGAAGCTGTGCATTCAATAAATAGTGTCAAGCTCCAGGAGACAGGGTTTGGCCTGATAAGAGCTTTGACTGTCCTGGGTGCCCCATTTGTGCATTAAGATCTTGTCTTGTTTTCCTTTATCCTTCCGCTGTACCTTTGGTCAGGAGATGAGAGGTCTGATCAGCTTTCAATAAGTGCCTAGGACAATTAAACTATTGCCATTTCTCCAAAGGCTAAAAATAGATTTACCTCATAACTCAGCAGATTCACATCTAGATGTACATCCAAAGAACTGAAAATGTAAATCTACACACAAATTTGTACAAGAACATTTATAATGCTAGACTTTGTAATACCCAAAAAGTGGAAAGACACATTTCCATGAGCTGGTGAATGGACAAATATTCATACAATACAATATTATTAAGCAATAAAAAAAACAGTGAAGTGCTTATACAGGCTACAACACAGACAAACTTTGAAAATATGCTGAATGAAAGAAATCAGTCTCAAAAGACCACTTACAGCATTATTCTATTTATATAAAATGTTTAACAAAAACTTTCATAGAGATGAAAAGTAGAATAGTGTTTGCCTCATGCTGGAGAGTAGGTGAGAAATAGGAAGGAAAGCTGCTGGGTGTGTTTCTTTTTGGAGTGATGAAAATGTTTGGAAATTGATTGTGACAATGGTTTCCAATTTTGTGACTATATTTAAAAATATTGACTAACACCTATACTTTACATGCATAAATTGGAGGGTATGTGAAATGTATGGATAAAATTATCATGTAGGAAAAGTGTTAGTAGGTCAATTGGTGTTGTGGTTATCATTTAGAGATGAAAGAAGAACAAGGGGAGGGGAGAAACAATACTTTCTGATCAGTCAGCAGGGCAGGTGGAGAATGCCAAGGAGCACAGAGAAAGGAGAAACATTCACAGAAGAGGATGACAGCGCAGTTTGGGAGGCAGTAAAAGTGAGGAGAGGAGATGAAATCATGTCACTGAGGCTCCAGAGCAATGTCAAGGCTGCGAATAATACATCTGGAAATGGGGATCCTGACAAAGGGCAACTGAAGCCACCGGTGTGCAGGGCAGGAAGGGCCCACAGAGAAGCATCCGGAGGAGCTCCAGGCTTCGGGATGTGCACTGGGAGAACGATCTGCCACACAGATGGGTCATTTCTTGAACCAGCACATTCTAAGAGGAGCTAACTTGCAACGTATATCAGTGAAAAGCAGGGCTTCAAGGAAGTTTGGCACCCTTAATATGCTTGGATAATGCGAGGACTAGGGGTGGGAATGGAAGCTTTTAGTAAGGAACAATACCTTATTTTTCCTTTAGTCAAGCAATGTCAATTTTTAATAATTGAATAGAAAAGAATTTTAACCAATAAAAATCAACATAATTTGAAAATCAAATCTTAACATCTATGATTGATCCTTGACTCAACTTGTCATCATATAAAAATGTGATGCTAAAATTACACATTATATTACTAAAGTATATATGCTGCTAAATAGCATCTTCTGTTTCTATGCCATAAGGTCTTTAAATGAAAGTTGATATTTTTTCCCATAACCTTAGTATTCTGCTTCGTTAAGAGGTAGTCTATAAATATGTTTGTATGTGCTATCAAAGTGGTGATTTCCTATAAATGGGTTGTTGCTATAAGATCTCCTATACTGGATAATTCAGGTTATTTTTGCTAGGACAGCTCATTGTCCAGAGAAACTCTGTTAATGTTTACAATATGCAGCCTGGAATGGTCTGTTCTTCAGGATGAACTCACTGGAACTAGTGACTTGGCAGCCCGCTGCTTTTTAAAAGTAATGTACAAAGAAGATAAGAATAGTCAACTTAAATATTTATTTGAAACCTCTCCAAAATAATTACTTACAAGTCTCAAACCAGAATAACAAAATTTGTAGCAATTGCAGATACACTTGACTTTCACACACTTACTAAAGACAAAGTACAGAAAACAGAAATATATGGATCCTGGCCATAGTGATGGCACAGTTTAGAATGTTTTAGAGAACATGTCTGAGGGTTTTATACACACACACACACACACACACACACACACACACACATATATATATTCTGTTTTCCAAAGGAAGTTTTATTTCTGCTTCCAGATTTTTAAAAATATGCTCATGGCATAAAATGGTAACAACACTTTTTTTTCAGTAAATAGAATGAAGAGTTCCAGTATGATGATCCTTGATAGGAATTTGATAATAAAACCTATGCTTAAAATATCAGGAATTTACCTGCAATTGTACCTAAGAAGAGGGACTTATTAATTTTAAATCTTAATTAAATGTCTTTTCTCCCTTTGTCTAAAGCACACTTGTCTTTATTTTGTGCCATTATTACAAAATACTCAAGATTTCATGACTTATAAAGCATTGAGATTTATTACTTACATTTCTGAAGACTTGTCTAATTTGAAGCTGACTAATCTAATCTGCTCTGGTGAAGTCAATCATACTGTGTCATCACAGGTGGAAAGGAAAGAGAGCACATACAATAGGCGAGGAAGAGGACAAAGCTCTTTTTTTTTTTTCCAGGAGCCATTCCTTTAATAAGGACTCTACCCCTGCATTAAGTAACCTACTCTTGTGATTACAGCATTAACCCATGCATCGGCCCAGAGTCCTCCTGACCTAGCCACTTCCTAAAGTTCCCATCTTTCACACTATTTCCTTGGGCATCATCTTGCCATCAGATGAACGCTGGGGACCCAGTCAAAGCACCAGTTGAGGGGTGTCTTGTGTGTCACTACCATGCAACCTATAAAACCAATAGTATTTATTGTTCCAAAGTTCTGTCACCTGGAATACTGCCTGGACTCTTCACACTGTCCTCTGGTTCAACATCCTGGAAGGTCTTGGAAGGGTTTGAAGGCATACCCTGTTGAGGGGTCATGAAGAGCCACTGACGCTAAAAAGATTTTGACGAGAGGTGGGGAAATACACATTCTCTAACTAGAGAAAGTATCAGCATCTTTTCACTGCCCTTCAGCCTCTTATCCCCGTGTGAAACATCA